AAAAACTACTGAAAACATATCTTTTTTCAAAATTAACTTGAGCTTATTGCTTCAAATCATTATTCAACTCTGTAAACGCTATGATATAGTTTTCTATGAATAGCGTATCTAAATACTAATACTACTAATACTAATACTAATCAAACCTGGTCATCCTTACCAACAACTTAACTAACATCTACTTCAACTGTCAATAACTGACTATTTACAACTAATAAAGTAATCACAACTAGGCCTAGGCCTAACCATCACATAAAATCTAATTTTAATTAATTTGTGTACGAAAGTGTATCTTCGTAACAAAATAAATGCTTTCTATTTATTTAATTCCTTTACGTTTATGTGACAAATAAATGTCATATGCCCATATTTGGGTGTAGTATAATATCATAATGTTTATATAGGCATATGTACACATCACACACATTTTCCACATAAGATTTGATTCATTTCATTTCGTATATTTTGTCTTCAGAAAAAAAGCTTACAAGGATACGAGAAAATACATTGAAATACACAGAAAATGAGCTGGATAAAACAAAAAGCGAAACAAATTACTGTCGAGTGGATCTGCAAGTTTGAAGACAATACTTTCAGGGACGGATCCAGAAATGTCCAAAAGGGGGGGGGGCGGAAAGGGGAACCGAAAGTTGGGCCGATTGAGACAACAGTGTCGTAGGGGTCCGGGGCATGCCCTCGCAAATTTTTTGTGTTCTAGACGCCCGAACATAACATTTGAGGCATTCTGGGCTATCATTTTGTTCTTTTTCTCTCTTTTTTTTCTTTTTTTCCCCTTTTTTACCTCCCAAAAGGGAGGGCGGGGCCGGGCCGGCCCCCCATAAATTCGCCCCTTACTTTAAACACTAAAAATATTCGTATAATATATTATATATAAATTAAAATTAAATATTTTTTAGTGTAGACAGCTTAAGCATGTGAGCGTACGCAATAGTACTTTATGTTAAATTCTCCTTAATGAAACTAGACATTACATTTTTTTTTTGTTACTAAGACCAGTGAATTCGCTAGCCTGTGTTCTTATTCATTATGAAATGTGTACTTGCTAGTCGTTCACGTGTTGTAGGCCTAACTGTTTCTATTTATATAACAAGAACTCTTCTGTCTTCGCTGCTAAGGGAGGCGTTTCTCTGTATCACTAGAAAAATTAGATGTTTGTTTCTAATTGACTCCTTTAAGTACCTATACATTGAGAACTAGATGCGTGCGTCATAACAGGCTTAATATAAAAATAATTTCACAAAAGCAGTTATCACAATACCATTCACAATATGAAATGAATGTAAA